TGACCACCTGAAGGGAAGAGGTGATGCCACAGGCATGTGAGCTACCAGCAGTCTTCAGCTGCTGAAACGTCTTTGCCCTCCCAAGTTCTCCCATCAGTGTTAGCACAGTCAGCAGATGTTCAGATGATTAACACTTGTGTGTGCCATCATCAGTGCATCTCTGAAGGGATTCAGTTGTCCCAGGCAAGGTGGAGAAGCTTGTTATGAGGAACACTGTTGTTCTGGGAGCCAGCAACACCCACACCACTAGCTTCAGCCATTGTAGGTTTGTGCTCTTAACAGAAGCAGAGGGGATCTACACCCACAACTTTCACAAAAATTAGATGCATTTAAAATGCAGCTTTTTCTTCCTGGTTTAGTAGCTGTGCTAGAAAGTCATTACACATGAATTTATTTTTCCTTATCTCTTGGATTATCATCAGCTTCCTTCCTTCCTTCCTGGATGAATTTATCCAGCGTTCTGATTGCAGCTCTGTTTTTTTTTTTATCACCTCCTGTCTATGAGGCTTAAGATTTTGTATGTTTTACATAATTGAGCTTAGTATTTTGCAGAAATTTACAGTGAAGATAAATTTCCACGGAGGGGTTGGTTACAATAAATCTGTTCACAGTCTATTCACTTGGGCTATTTGCTCTTTTGGTTACAGAGCTGCTGTATTTTATTGGTCCTTATATTTTATTTCTTTTTTTTGTCCTTTGGAGAGGGGAAATGGAGCAACATTTTGGGTTTTAAGAACTTCCGCAGAGATTCAGGCCGCTGGTCACAGATAAATCCAGTATGCAAAGAGAACCATCTTAGAGAACAACTGTTTAAAATACCAGGGCAACAAATATCTCCTTTCTCTTTCTTTGGACTGGGCTTGGAATTTGATTGTAGGGTATTGGTTATTTGAGGGCTCATCTAGCAATTGCACAGGGAATGGGGAGGAAACAGGAAAAAAAAATATTTCATATAGGTGCTTAAGGGAAAGTGGTATTACATGATTTTAAAATGAAAAAAATATCTAAGTTGCGTGAAACTGTGACTGACAATGTCCTGCAGGGGCTGATCATTAGAACTAGGAGTCATAATCTTTCCAGAGATGAAATGCTTACTTCTGTGTGCATGGGAGTGTGGGGAGAGAGGGGTGAGTTCAGTGTATCTTGGATGTAGTGGTTAAACTAAGAGGAATTTTATAAGGCTTTCCATGAACTAGGAGAAATGAACATTTTTACTGAAACACCTTTAATTTTGTTATTAAGGGCAATTGTATTTTAGTGTGTGTTAGCGGGCTGACATTTACTCTGCACAAGTTTTAAAGCATTTTATATTGAAAATGCATCTGCCTAAAGACTTATCCCAAAGTCTGAATCCTGTCTGAGTCACATAGCGCTATTTCGTTTTGATCTGCTTATAGATACTCTTCCTTAACAATAGAAGGATTTTCCCCTAGTTATTACTGAAATAGGACATTTTTTAATTATAAAACAGGTGTCAACACAGCTTTACATCACAATGATAGTGATATGTGTCATAAAACAGTTTGTGTTGTTTCAGTGCAAGTGTCTACATATACCAGCTGCTATAGCATGTTAATCAGTTTTCGAAAAATAACCCTTTTAGAAGTCGTATAGACAAGCTCTGACTGCGTGCCTGCAGAAAGGAAGATGATAAATTAACCTGAATATTAAACACTAGTTCAGGTGATTAATTTTTAATGAAGACAATGAAAAACTGGTTTTGCTTGTATTCCCTGGAACACCCTTTCAAAAGCTCTGCTTTTCCAAAATTGTTTTTTTCCTATGTGTGTGGCACAGGAGGTGACTTGGTTCACAGCAGGTAGGTTCATTAGTTGGCATTTCTGGTATAATATCCAGCTGTGGAAAGCTTATAAATATTGGTATTTAGGTCATCTTAATTAGGCCTCGAAATAAAGATTTAAGATAAAATGGAATAATTGCACATACTTCATTGCGGCTCAGCTTCTTCAGTGAAAAGAGGGTGCAATTCCCAGGCACTGTGAACTGATTTAAGCAGACTTGCTGCAAATCTGCCTTACCACTGCTCCTGAGATTGTGCAGGTAGCTGAACCATTAAAACTAATGATTTTGGGGAGAGGTGAAAGATGTGGCAGTTTTCAGCTGAGTTGGGTGCTGGCGTGGATATCCTTGTTGTCACAACTACTGATGCCAGTGTAGGGGACGAGATTGGGCTGTGGCAGCCCCCATGTGCATCACTGCTGGCTTCTGTGTGACCCATACTTCATCATTGCTGGTGATTTGCTGGGGGCCATCTGCTTTTTTTCCTTCCTTCATGGATTAATTTCTCCACAGTTCTGCATACGTTCACAGTAGTTGACAGGAAGCTCAGGTATCTGTGCCCCTCTCCTAAGCTTGGCTGAAGCAAAGAGCTTCTCTCCCTTCTTTGTGCAGATTCACTTGCCATGTTGTGTCCCCAAAATACTGCAAAATCACTACCAATGAGGATCAGTGTGAGCTCTTTTGTGCCAATAGGGGTGGCAGCAGTTTCCATCCCGCTTGTGCTGCATTTGAGGTTAGCAAGTGAAAACCAGGAGGCAGCATCCCTAGTGCTGGGTTTAAGAAGTTGCGACCAGCAAGGGAAGCTGGAGGAATCTTAGCAGTCAGCAGGCAACTGGATGGCCAATGTTTAAAGCTGCCCTGCAGCTGATGAAATGCAGTTGCCTGTATTTCTGCCGACCAATGCATCTGCCTTAATAACATGCCCAAATGTAGGATCTTCAAACCCATCTCTGCCAAGCTATTGGCAATGAAGTTGAGGATGGTGTGTAACTTTGGGCGAGGAGAGGCTCAGAGGAGGATTGCAGTGGTGACTGGAATATGCATGCGGTGTTGTACAAGCGCCTTACAGCATCTAGCAGGCATCTAGGGGAATTAACCATGTGAGTAGTTCAACAAATTTAATACGAAGAAGGTGGGAAGGTTGTACCATTGTTTATCTCTCTTTGACTAATAACACGTAAAGTATGCTTTTAGTGTTCTAACACCACAAGATGGGAGGGTGCCATCATTTAAGTGTGTTATTAAGCTAATGACGTATAATGAGTATTAAAAAAGCAACAGTTATCATCTGCTACATCACTGGTGCTGGTAGTTGAAACTTCTAATTTTCATTTGTGGACCAATGTAACTGAAAATGGAGGGAGAGCTCCTCCTGATGTGAATTTCTCTCTGTAAGAGCATCTCTCTGTCCTCTGACAGTGGATGGAGCTGAGGGAGAACCTGTGGGCACATGATCTCTTCTTCCTTGTCTATGCCAGTAAATTCAGCACACCCTAAAGTGCAGACTTTATTTTTTCTTAGTATTTTGAAGGTGTATCCTGTCTTGCACCAAATCTTCTAAAATTCTAGTTTAAACAAAGCCTGTGGGGATTAAGGTTTGCATATTTTCCTAAGAGGATTATGCTTCCCGCTTAGTTGCTCTATAAATTGTTTGAGGTTTTTTTTAATTATTTTTTTAAGTACAGGAAAAGCCCCATACACATTAAAACTGTCCTGAAATGTGTTATCTGGTGGTTAGTGATAGAAATCTGGTGTCTGAACTAGTAGTAAACTGAATCACTGAACTTCAGGGTGATTTTGAACCAAAAAACATTTCAGTAATCAGATTTGCAGCATGGCTGCAGGAACAGTTGTACCAGCACAACTGGAGAGGCTGGCAAATTGCAAGAAGGATTAGAAACTGCTTATGCTGGCATCGGAGAAAATATTTATTGTGAATATACAGCCCAGGCATAAATTAGTGAGCACCCTTCCAAGCATGGGTTTGCTCATAATGCACCGAGATTCTAGAAACTCTTTACTTGCAGATCAAGGAAGTGAGGCAGCTCAGTGAGAAGGATATTAAAGTAATCAGGGAACAAATAGTGGTGTTCTGTGAGGACTTTTATCATTGAAGTTCATACTGATGAATAGTAGTTCATACTCATAAAGTCATTGGCAAGGTACTGTACACCTCAGCAGTGTCCCCAAGGAGCGATGGGTGCTGACGCTCCCGGTACAGCTGGGTGCTGCGGCATGGTGCCTTCACCCTGCTGTCACAGCTGCTTAACACCCACCGACGGGGTCATTTTGATGATTGCCAGCTTCACTTTTCATTATATGCCTGCAGGTGGGCTGTACCTTACACATTGATTTTTTTGTATTTACGGTGGTTTTTGGAGGGCTGGGTGCAGCTCCTCATTTTATGATGCTGTCGAGGTGTTTGGAGGTTGTGCAGCAGCAATTGCTGCTAAAACCAAGCCTATGGTGGGGCTTCTTCCGTACCTCCTAGAACAGTCAGAAAACTTGAAATGCTAATATTTCCTTACTTCATGTCACTGAATGTGAAGGAGAGATCTGACTCAGCCATAGAAAACTGGTTTAAAACAGGACTAAACTCATCTGTGCCGCTCAGAGGGGTGGTCAGAGCTCCCTTTTAAACTGTTGGTTTGTGCCCAGTGCTGCCGGCCCCATCATCTTTCGTCTCTCTCTGTCACTCCTCACAGGAGTGATGAGATGGACATTCCTGAGAAACGAGTGGCATTTATTTGGTAAAAAAGGGTAAGGGACAAAGAGAAGTGTCCCCTGCGGCGGTGTGAACAACAGGCAGTCTCTGCAGATCTACGACAGCATCATTTTATCCAAGAACTGTGCTTGTAGCATTGCAAGCTGTATCACAGCAAGTGTGGGACTGATGTTAGGCGGGTGTTAAACCCTGGAAAGGAAGGAAAACCTGAAAGCACAAACTGAGGAGGAGCTGTTGGGAAGTTTCAACTTCTGTTTTGCTATAGAAGCTTGTATGGAGTAAGTTTGCTTCTGGTTGGGATCAAATTGATTTAGTAAGGCAAGCAGAACAGAACAAAATCGATGAATATCCAGAGGTACAGCTCGGGTAGTGAAGGACAGTTTGTGAGCTTTACTAAATAACAGCTCTGAGGACTTTCTCATGCCCTCTAACCCACGGTGGGTGATCTTTTGTGTTCTTTTTTCTCTGCAGACGTCGGCTGATCTCCCAGCGATCTTCTCTGGAGACACTGGAGGACATCGAGGAAAATGCCCCACTGCGGAGGTCATTTTATTTACTCTCTCTCTGGTTACTTGTCTGTAAGGCATGTGCACAGACAGACTTGCTGTCCCTGCATGTGTTGGGAATTAGCTGGGTGGTCACATTAAGATGTTCTTCCTAGTGGGTAAAGTGAAACCTCATGCACCCTGTAAGGTGGTAGGTGACGTGAATTACACATTCCCTGGCTTTGGGTTATTAATGAAGAAGTGAGTATTTAAATAAAATGTCAGGAAATAAAAAGTCAGATTTGATTAATAGAGAATTTTAGTTGTCACTAACAGGAATGACTAGCCTCTAACGTAATACCTTGAAAAATTAAGTACAGCTGGTTTAATAAAGTAAGATTTTGAAGGCTGATATTTTTAATATACTTATTTTTAATGGATTTTTATTGTTTGTTCTCTCTACACACAGTCTTATTTTGGTAAACAGCATTACTGTCTTTCTGTGTTGGCTGGTAGTTTTGTGACTGCTACCTTGCTAATAAATCTGCCCCCATCCTTGTTATATCAGCAACCTCAGCGTGGTTTTATTTCTGCATCCAGGAGGCCACAGCTTCTCTGGGGACTGCAGTAATTAGGCAATAGGCAATCCTCTGGGGTGTTGGAAAACGGAGCAACTGCTTAACAGTTCAGAAGCGGGCTGACCAGTAATCTGGCCAGTGCGTGGTGTGCTTCCAGGTCAGCTGTTCAGTAAGGCAGCAGCTTATTTTTGAATGTCTCTTTATCTTAGGACCTGTAATTCAGCTGTTTTATATCGATGTTTAGCCTATAGCCTTGTTTATCCACATGCAGATTGGCTGTCTCTCCCCACCTCGAAGCAAAGACTTAATAGCAATAGCAGAGGCTGTACCAACTGGCCAAGGCATGATTATTTTTACCAAGCTTACTGTTGAATGCTTACCAGCATGTTATGAAGTGTTCTTATAAATGATTCAAACATGCGTAATTGGTAAAGGATATAAACAAAGTATGGTTTGCAAGGCAGTATTTTTACTTGCTAATTTGCAGAATTGGTGGTAGAACCTCTCTCTTGGAGGTGTTTTCTCATGAAGAAGCTAACAAGGCTAATTGCAACCAGAGGATGAGGGAATCTCAAGGATTTACCAACAGGAGGAAGGCAGAAATGGCTAAGTGATGGGGTCCCCCCCTCGGGGTGTGCCCGTCCAGTGTGGTGGTGCTTGGGTACTGGCAGTTTCAGTCCAACAAAAGCACCTCTTGGGGTTGGGAAGCTGCTGAGCTTTGCCTGTGCATAGGAGAGGATGGGAAAAATAGGTTAGGGAGGCTCAAGACAGGGGCTGTGCTGGTCCCATGCGCCAGCGGAGGATGCTTGTCCCTCAGCTCCCACAGAGGATGCAGCGGCTGCGGTCCAGCAGCCCTGGCTGCACAGTGAGCACAGGAGTTATCTCCAGTGCCTGTGTGCTGTGCTGAGCCTTGCAACAAAACAGCACTGAGATGAAAAAGAGAAAGCTTTCACATTCGTTGTGGTTTCAGCTGGTTAAAAAAAGCAAGGCTGGAAGTGGGGGGGATATTGCTCTTTGTCTCATCTCTCCTTCCTCTGGCAATTTCTTTCTATAACTGCGGTTTTAAAAAGTGCGTTCAGATGTAAAATAGATTTAAGAATTAACGTTTTGAAGAAAGATTTTTTTTTTTCCCCCCTGAGGTAATTTATTTTATTTTCAGTTGTTTTATATGCTGTCAGGAATGTTAAAAGTAATATTTAGAGTTAAAAGCAAGTAGGAATTACCCTTGCAAATGAGAGATTTTAAATCTTTCTAAAATTAAAACAAGAAAGAACTTTCCCCAGTAGCTCGTTTATCGGTAGCTGAGGAGGATAAAAAAGTGTGGGTGTTGATGTGGGGGGGACAATTGCATATTTACCAGGTTTTGTTTTAGTTTGGTTTTTTTTTCCTCTGAAAGCTTGGGCTAAACTGTCACAGCAGATTACAGGAAGTTTGATTTTGCTGAGATTTTTTTTGGTGATTTGTTTTTTTGCGTGACAGGAGGCGTAGTGGTGCCTTTTCTTATTATTATTTTAAATATTTTTTTTTTTATTTGAGCTGTCGCATTTCCAGACTTATTGTCTTTATTGTTCTTGCTGATTCCTAACACAGGGTGACTTGAATCATTTGTCTCGTCTTTCCTTCCTGCCTTTGTGTAGACTGCTTGGCCGTACAGCAGGGAACTGAGTACTTTTTTTTTTTCCTTCCCCCTCACCTCCCCAACTGATTTATTTTTCAGATGTCGGACACTCTCAGGATCACCCAGACCAAAGAACTTCAAGAAGGTTCATTTTATCAAGAACATGCGGCAACATGATACCAGAAATGGCAGGTACTGTGCAACCAAAGGCTGCTGCTGCAAAGGCAATCCATGGGGCATAAGGGAAAGGGCAGGGTCAGCATCCTTGTGCAAGAGCACAGTGTGGCATTGCCACTTACCACACCAGTAATGGTGTTTAAAATAGTCTGTGAAGGTGCAGGCTGCAATGCACGCTCCTTCCTTGGGTGAGGTGCAAGTCAATGGAAGTGCCAGCCCATGGATTTTTAAGACCTGTGTCTCCATAATACAAATAACTTGCATAAAATGAAAATCAGTTGGAGTAAACTACGCATAACCTGGTGGCATTTCTTCAAGGGTAGTGCCAGGTGCTAAGTGTGAGAAGGGTATGTGGGTGAACCTCTCTGGAATAAGTTTAGCAATGGCTGAGTGACGTTTCAAGATCTGTTAGTGGGTGTAAGGGTAGGTGTCAAGCTCACTGGGTTGTCAGGGCTGCCTGTGGCGGAAGGCTCACTGGACAAGTGGCAAGAAAACAGCTTCGGGGAAAGGTATTAAGATTATCCTGAGTCTTGCAAGATTAATTATAAACGTGGCAGATCCCAATTGCAATTTTGCATCCTCCTGGATTCAAAGTGCTGGTTAGTAAATGCGCATCTGCGGATGGTGGTGGCCAGGTGAGGAGTTGGATCCTTGTTTTCATGGCAGCTGCAGGCAGAAGGGCTCCTGGGGGATGCATGAGAGCTGCAGCTGCAGCACACCTCAAGCTGGATTGCAGCTGTAGGCACTAGTGGGACCTGTACAGCAGCAGTCAGCTGGGACTTCTCCTACTGCAAAGGCACGGTGCCTGCTGTGGTGTTCCCATCAGCAAAGTAGGTTCTTTATTGCAGTATGACCCAGCTCAGAAGTGAAACTAGCTCCTTCTTGCTTATAAAAAAGCCACCTGCCCTCTCTGTTTTTTTCCCAAAACAATTTCCCCAGGTGTCTCATGATTTTATTCTTGTCCTTCCAAACCTGAATAGGTTTGAAATGGGCTACCTGAACAGGTTGCATAGAGACTAAACCATCCCACTGAGAGCTGACCCTTCCATATATCTGTTCTCATACAACTGCTGGGGGTGAGAACCACGTATGTTCCTGTGGACCGATTTGTGCACACAGCCTGTGGTTTCTCTCAGAGATGGAACCAAGTCAGTAGAAATTCTGACATTACATCCAACTACATGTTTTATGAATTGAATTCTGGTAGGTGCTACTTGGCCTGAGCAAAATTTTCCTCACGTTTATTTTCACATGCACAATTAAATAAAGTTAAAGGTAGTAATCAACATAAATATTACAGAAGGTGGCTCTGAGAGGTGACTGCTTTTTAGAAACAGCTTTTGTAGCAAACAGATGCATGTAGAACTGTTAACTATTGTCTGACTAGAAGCTGATTATCGTCTTTACAAAAAATACATGTGGTATGAAACGCTGAAAAGCAGCCCTCTAATTTTAGTCTGTTTTGTGCATAAATATATGTAGGAAAAATACTTATTCATAAAGTATTATGCAAATTCCACAGAGAATGAGTAATTTCTGAGATGCATACATAAATTATATCCATAAACTTGATAGAAATATTACCTCCGAAAAAATGAATAAATATTTGATATGTGAACTCTTTCTCCATCTGTTGCAAAAAAGTATTTGTAGAATATATCCTAGCATTTTATCTTAATTTATATATCAGTCATTATGTCTGATAATATAACTGAATATTTTTCTTGCTAAGAAAACAGTGAGTAAGCTTCCGTTATTCAACTGACTTCTTATCTTTATCAGCAGACACAGTTTTCCAGAATATTTCCATAATAATAATAAAGATCCCTTTATCTAGAACACAGATACAATAAGAATAAGATACACAGTTTTGGAAATGCTTTTTGTCCTATACACAAGGAGCCACAGCGATATTATCTAAAAATAAAATGCGAAGTCAACAGTTTGTGTCACCCCTAAGGCCAGCTAAGTCTGGCAGTAATCTGAGCATATATGCTGTGTTTCCAAGGGTCTGGATGCTCTTGCAGTCACTGCAGTTAGTAGGCATTCTGGATGAAAAGGACCTCTGGAAATTCAGGTGGATCTGATTATGTGTTCATCCTAAAATCAACAGAGTTTCTGAGTACCTTAAGACCTTGAAAGCTGGTGTCCTCCCTGGTTCCCTGTGACACGGAGGAGCACAGGTCCTGCAGTGGATAGAAAACCTCCCTGGGGCTCCTTCCCATGCCTGGGACCTTGTCCTAGGTGCTCACGGGTGGTTGTGCAGGACACAGGCGCTGAGCCAGGCCCTCTGAGCTCTCTCCAAAACCCCTGACCCTTCTGTTGTAGCATGACAGCCTTTCACTTAACTTGAGGGACCCAGCTTTGAAAACATCTCCACAAAATATATTTTTGAGTGGTGAGTTGATAGCTGGGCTTTAAAATAGCTAGTGCTTTCAGTAATTGTTTTGCTGGCTTGTGACAGTGAGTGTCACAGCAAATGAAACTGCAGTGTGGATGATAGCGCGGGGCTCTTTCCTCTGCTAACTGCCCTTATTTGTGGTTCTCTACCTGTGAAGTGAGGTGTCCTTGTCCTGCAGCACTGAGAGCTCTTCCTCTCTTAGCCCTGGGGATGACACATGCTGAGAAACGATCCTTTGGGCCCGGCAAGGCAGGACCTGCTATGGTTAAAATAGGAGTTCAGCTATTTCGGTACAGAGAAAAACCACCTATACATGGACCTCAGCTTATCAGCCAGTCCTTGTAAAGCTTCCTGTTGATGGTTCTGTGCACTGGTTAAACCGGTTTCTTCAGATTTGCAGGACGTGGCTTATTAAAGGAACTGGAAAATTAGGTTTCCTAGACTGTGTTATCAAAGCAGTGTTGTAAAATAACAGAAAATAAGTTTTCCCATTAAGAGACAAAGACAAGCAAACCCTGACAGACAAGTTAGCAGAGGTAGCCACCAGCGTGTGCTTTCACCTGCTTTATTCAGCAGGTTTATTGGTAGTATCTTCCATAAACTGTGAAAGCAGAAGATCTCCTATCTAGCAGAAACAGACCACCAAAACAGCAACTGGAGCCAACTGAACAAACAATTCGTGGTGAGAATGGGACAAGAACATTTCTAGAGTCATCCTATATAACAGATAGAAAAGCAGTAGAACAGTGTTCCTCTCCCACCCCCATGCCATTGCTTTCTCAAGTTTTTTGTTAGTATACAGATCTAAGCCAAGGCCAAACACCACCCATAGCCTGTGAAAGGTGGCTTTTGCTGCCCTTTTAATTGTGGAAATGCACATACATGCACTCTCAGAGGTTGACTATTCACAGAGTCCTCACAGGTCATAATTACTCTCAGCCACCTTCCAAAAGCCCCACCTTGAACTTGGGAGACTCCAAAATGATGGCTGCTACCCAGACAGCATCCATGGTTTGTGTGTTCACCTTTGCATGCAGGACGGCAAAGCCCGGTAGTCAAACATCATCAGTCATATATGAGAGAAGAATCTGCAATATTCTGCATGTACATGGTACATATGATGTATATCACATTGTCTGATTGCAGCCTTTTGGTGCAACACAATCAAACACATCATTGTATGAGGTTGTGTCAAACACATCATTGTGTGACATTATGTCAGTCTTGGACACAAGAGGAAAATTTTTCATGCTAAGAACCATCAGCCATTGGAATAATGTCCCTAGGAAAGTGGTGGATTCCCCAACATTGTAAGCTTTTAAGATTCAGCTGGACAAAGTGCTGGGCCATCTTGTCTAGACTGTGCTTTTGCCAAGAAAGGTTGGATCAGATGATCCTTGAGGTCCCTTCCAACCTGGTATTCTGTGATTCTATGAAACTTAGACAGACACTAAAGAAAACAGACATTAATGTTCTTCAAGACAAGTGAGTTACTGATTCTGTTGAGAGCCTTGTGCTCAGTAAGTTGCTGTAGTTTCATAGCATACATCTCATTGAAGAAATTGTAATATTAACTTTTACAGTCTCAGACGGTTTTACATTGTCAGAGCTCTCTTGCAAAATAATGATTGCTCTGAACCATAGTAATTAGTACAAATTCTTGGTGAAATGTGAGAATTAGAGAGTGAAAACCTTTTCATGAAGTAATTTTAAACATGTCTAGGTGGTACAGTGGTAATCAGAGCACATAAATACACTCTGACTCAAGCTGCTTCTGATGTCAGAGACAGCTCATTCAGAGCTGCACATGATTTTAGATGCCCTTTGTTGAAGAGTTGAAATCCAGGAAAATGCTTTTCTCTCATAAACAATTCCATTTTCTTGAACAGCAAGGAGCTTCCACCACGCCTTCTTCTCCAAAGCATATTTTGTGACAAGTTCCTGGACTTTTTGCTCCAGCAAACCATTGCTGGCTCTCAGAATATTATTTTCCATGCATATCGTCAGACCTCAAAGTAAAATGCCATTTTATCCCTCCATGATGAGCTTCTGACCACTGCCTTCCCTTCCAGTCCAGCTCCTCAGGCTGTTTTGCACCAACCCCCTCCAGCACCTCTGCAGATGAGGTTTTGTGGAATCCTGGCAGTGGAGGCCCTGGGCTCCTCTCATGCTCTGCCTGGGATATATTTACATAAAGAGGGTCCCTCAGTTTGTAGAAAGAGAGGCAATACTTGGGTCCCAAGGGAAAGAAATATGAAAAAACTAGAGGCTGGGCTGGTGCTTTTTATTTCCTTTCTGGTCTGATTCCTTCTGATACACACAGCAAGTTGTCTGTGGTAACTTCCCCCTGTTGTCTCTGCTTGTGGACATGGAAGCACCAGTTTGTTTTTTTTTAAGTATTAAGAGTTGGGTTTTTTTTTTTAGGGAGGGGTAGGGCGTTTGTAGAAGGGCGGTATTTCCAGAAGCAGCCAGAAGGAGTGGGGGGAATATGCTTAGTGGGTGCCATGGTTTTCCGAATTCGAAGATGCTTTCTGATGTCAGCGTCAAAATCTGTGCCAAGTTTCATACATCAGCAAACAAGGCTTCCAGTGAACAAGCAAGCTGTTGTGAGTAGCAACCATTCAGCAATAAGCAGTGGCAAGCACAAAATTAATTGTATCCCAGGTTTGTTTTTTTTGCTTGTGGACTGCCTTTCTCAAATGAGAAAAATTATTGCCCCCTGCTTTATAACTTACTGATGCGCCATGAGACCATCTTATAGGATATGAGATATTTACCGTAGGTAAGGGGCGTTATAGTGTTCAGACAAACAATGAGATCATACTTGATCTGCTGCAAGAGAACTTCCTAATGGTATATGCATGTTTATTATTAGAAACCCTCCTTTATTAATGGTTAAATACCACTTTGCTTTTCAACAAGCTCTTAAGGCAGAAAATAGGATTGCTATAACAGAATGATCCAGGAGAAGGGGAAGTGATTTTCTGCATTTTTCCAAACATTACATGCAGCAGCTCTCTTGGGGATCTAAACCTTTTCCAAGAACTATGACTAAGCTGCTCCCATAAGGAAATAGTGTTTTAATAACAGTCTAACTGGTAGGAGGTTTCTAGGTGCATATGGTGGGTTTTGGACAGTAAAGAAAAAAATAGCTTGTTGTCCAGCTTTGACCAGTGTAGGACAAAGGTTGAAAAATCTGGGTGGAATCCTCACATACAAATCTGTGGCACACAATGTCAGAAAAATCAATACTGAAGAGCAGAGCAGGGAAGTACAATAGCCCTGACAACCAACCCAGCAGTAAGTCCTGGCATTTGGACCACAAGTGGAGATTTTTCGAAAAGTAAAATATAAGTAAATTCTAACACTAATCAGTTTAGAAGATGTCACAAATTGCCATCACTGTGTCTTAGAGGAGTTTGAGGAGATGCTGCCCGTTGGCCAACTTTAAAGGGAAGAAGGGTCTTTTTTCATGTACGTTTTACAGTTGTCAATGTCCTGAAATTAATAAGGAAGGAGGGTATATTTGTAAGTCTTTATTGATAGGCATTTTATATATTACATCTTGATCAAGTTTCTCTTGGCTTCTTGCCAATCTGCATCTCCTAAAACTATATTTATGTAGCTATTGGTGGTTCATGCAGTTTTATAGAAAGTGGGTGTTGACCTCAAGGTGATTTTGATGTTGCTTAATGATATGTCAGAGCTTGATGGCTAAAGGTAATAGTGTGGCTGTTAAACAGATACGTTGCTCTGAGGTATTTGATTTAATGCCATACATTGACTGCAGATGATGCAGAGATTTGGAGGTTGATTAGAAATACAAGGCGTTTACTGTAAGAGTGGCTTGGATTCTGAGATAAGTTCTGTGCAGGCAGATAATGTATGCTTTCATGTAGCCAAATGTTGAGCTGCCTGCCTATAAGGAATTAATGCAAGCCATGCTTACAGGAGGAGGGATGCGACCCTGACAGTTAGTGACAGAGATAGACGTGGTGCTGGAGGAGAAGAGGCGAGGAGCTGTGGGATCCGTCATGCCTGGGTGTCAATGCAGCATCATAACCAAGAGAGCTGATTACTGAGCTCAGAGGCTGGTGGGTCATTGGGGCTAGGCACCGCTCTTAAAGGTAAAGACTGAGAGTTGTGATGTTTATATGTGCCATCAGTGCAACTGCTAAGGTCAGTGATACTGCCCAGAGATCAAGAAGGGTGATGGGGAGAAACTGTAGAAGACTGAAGGAGGAACCTGGAAAATGGTGAAAGGATCTGAAAGCTTATGATAATAGCAAACTTTTTACTTCATCTGTGAATCAGGCTGTTGCAGGAATAGGAAGCTGAAAATCAAGGGAGTCCCTTGGTTTAGCAGAGAAAGTTAATGACCAGCAGGTTGAAATTCTTGTCCGGTAAATGGAGAGTCAGGCACAGAGTTGTGGTGTACATCACAGGTGGTTCTTGGTGTCTGTCACCTGGGTTACTGTTGGATTTTTCTGTTTAGTTTCAGCCATGGTGGAGAGTTGTCAGAATGGCTCCTTGCCTCCCTGGGTGGACTCCTTTCACTAGGAAAACATCTGTCCTGGATTCCAAGTAGTGTATTCAAGGTAGACTTCCTTGAAAGCCTGTAGAGGGGATGGGACTCCACTACTCATTTGCTGTGGAATGTATGGCACAGGCTTCAGCCCTTCTAGAAAGACTCAGTAGCGTGATACCCTACCTGTGAGATAAAAAAGAGGAGGGATAAATCATCCGTGATGGCAGTTTTATGATTACAAATTCCACAACGGTAACATCTGTTGCTTTGCTTATTGTGATGGGATTTTTAAATTTTAGTCTTTGATTTCTTTTTATTTTCTTTTATATTTTAGAATAGTCCTTATCAGCAGCAGAAGATCCTTCTGTAGCATATTTTCAGTGCTGCCATATCGAGACTGTACCCAAGTCGGGTATGTATATTTACACATGTACTACATAGTCTTTCTGGGCCTGCATGTAGACCTGATAATGGACAACAGCATGATGGAGGCTATTGCTTTTACATACCTGCTCTGAGACGAGTTAAATGCGCTTAGATATATTTGCCTTGTGGAACATTACCAGGTTAAAACTACAGCTCTCAGTCCCCAGTTTATTTCTGTGTGTTGTATCATTGATTATTAAACTGGAGAAAACTACCCCCCTGAAATCAATGTTCTTGAAAAATGCACTGTTTTTATTGTTTCTTCTGACTTCACTCATCTTTGACGAAACAAGTACTCTAGACAGCACAACTTTTATTTTATAAGCAGTCTTAGCTTTCTCATTCTCCCACACCCACATGGTGCTACTGTATCTAGATTTCCAGAACTATAGAGAAATACTTGGATTTAAACATAATACCTTTTTATTGTACATTTAGCCATTGGTCAGATCATTCAGTCAGTGAAAACAAATTATTTTGGCTATAATACTGTACAAGTTCTTAGCTGGTATAAGCAACATCTATGGAGCTGCCTTGCATCCCTTGATGTGCTGAGACACTAGACCTCTGAAAAGTTTATATGGATTGAAGCAGTTCTCCAAAGGCTGAGAAGGCTTTTTCCTCTTCCACTGAAACTGCAGAAGTGGAAGAAACTGAATTTGGCTAGGAGGCATTGTCTGGCAGGCTCTGAGGCGTGGCTTGCTGGGTGCCTTCAGAGGCACAGCGCAAGGCTGGAAAGGGCAGTGCTGGTCAGTGTCTCTGTGTCCCTGGGGCAGAGGAATAAAGCATGGCCACTGTGACTGTTTGCCAGAGAGCTGAAAGTTGCCTGGAGCTGGGGTCAACTCTGTGCCTGCAGGGCACAAAGTATGTGGGAAATATTCAGCTGATACACTGAGGTGGTTTTGAAAGACCCACAGATCATCTAGAGTCAAATTATCCAGTGCATAAAGGATGAATCTGGCTCATCTTTTTCAGCCATCTCCTTAATTCTGGAGAATGATTTGCCACAAGCTGCTTGTGCATCAGTAATTCAAAACAAAGGGAGATTATTTTTAATGCACAAGCGAAAGGAGGCACCTTTGTAGGAGAGTTGACTTGCTCTCCTGTCTCTACAGTGAAGTTTTCCCCTTAATTAAACTGGGATGACACATCAGGCAAATTCTCGACAGACTGGCAGCTTTGTTCGTTCTTCTTGGGTACGCTGTCATTCATTTATGGTCATTGCCCTCTGGAAATTGCCTCTTTATTGAAAATTCAATGTATTTTGAAATACTGATGACTGGTTATACCTTCTAAATTACAGCAATAACGAGCATAGCTGCAAACCTAAATATTATTTCAGCATGTAATGTCTTGTACCATGCTTGCACAGCAAGAAGGGCATGGGATGAGAAGGTAACAAGTGCCAGTACAAAACAATCCATCCCTGTTCCCTTTGCTAAAAAGCCAAGATTTAAAAAAAAAAAATGCCCTCTGTCTTTATTCCAGAGCATCAGAGGAAGAGAAACAATTCAATGGCACCTCCTTCCAGGAACAGCTGGTGCAAAGAACAGATGAGGCAGTATAGCATAGACTGTAGCCGCTCTGTTCAGGCTGCACAGTGCTTGCTTACTTCATTGCACATTTTGGGTGTGTGATAGTAGCAGGAAGAGATGCTGGTACCCTTTTGAAGTATGTAGTGACAGCATCCTTTAGCTTTGCTTTTTCTGAGTCTCTGGATTGCTGATGTCTGTCCCTAGGCAAGATGTCCTAACTGGTTTATGTTCTGTAACCATTACTGAATAGTTTGCAAAAAGAAACAAATCATTGCGGGGTACCTTGGGCCCATCTGCAATTAGACTGGATTAAGCCCTGGCAGGGTTGGGAGAGTGGGGTGGACATGCATGCGTGGGGCACTGTTGCATGTGAGAGGAGCTCATGGTGGAGCTGCTGCTGCTTCTCCACCTCTGCTCCGACTCGTGGGCACTGCAGCCAACGAGGAAATCTCCAGGCACAGCTGTGTTTTGGGGACACTGCCAGCCCCTGGTATATTGTAGGCAGCACAGAAGAGCTCTACTGTGTCAGTGCTGGCAGCTACTCTGCACTAACAGATCCATTTTAAAAACCTGTCTGAAAGGCAGTTCCTGCCGTCACAGCTGAACTCTGTGTACTTGGCCAGGGTGGATGGGGCAGCATCGCCCCTTACCAAGGAGGTGCAAGCAGTGTGCTCTAGACTGTGGCCCTTGCTTGCCCACCCTCCATGCTGAGGTCAAGCTACAATAGTAAGAACCCTCTCCAAACCCCCAAACTCTGTTTTTAAGTAATTGTACAAATACAAATGGAGGTCTGGAGGTGCAGGAAGGAGAGTCATGGAAGTAGATGAGAGGATGAAGTTTAAGCTGTCCCCTGGAATATGTTTCCCAAATCCCCCCCCAGATTGCAGCTGGCAGCAGGCTTTTGAAGGGAAATGAAGTCCAGAGTGGCCCAGAGACTGCCGGTGAGGAATGGTAGGTTTTCTACCTGTGGTTTCAGAGACCAATCTGGTGGTACTTGCTGGGGCTGAGAAGGAAGGACACCATGTGCCAGAGGAATTGCTTTCTCTAGTTTTCTGTTATGCTGAGAGAAGCGAAAAGTACAAAGCAGAGAGTGACTTGATGGCGAGTCATGAACGGAAGTAATCACTAGAATTTTGTATCCTCAAAATTTTGTCCATACCTTGTATCTGATGGAAACCTAATAGTGCTTTAGCTTATAGTGCTTTTATGCAAGGGAAAAGGGGAAAACTATAACTAAATTGTCAAAGGTTTTGAGATGCATTATGTCCTCTGGAGCCACTGAGGGGCAGATACTTTTGTGGATCTGGGCCATAAATCTCCTCTCCAGGTCTGGCTGCGTTAAGATTGCTGGTGGCATGGAGATAGGCACAGCTTCACCTGTTTCCATGGCAAAAGCAGGGTAATGGGCAGGACCAGGGCTTGCTTTTCTTCCCCCATCTAGACCAGCAGAGCAGCTGTAAGAGCAGACATAGCCAGGCTAAAAGCAATGTAAGGAAGCCTATACTGCAAATCAGGAACTGAGAGAGGCACTGAGCATTCTGCCTGCTGGCTTCCCTTGGTCTCCAGTGTCCTGTGGTGTTACAGCCCAAAATCAACAGACCTGTGTGCAGGGTTTAGTGATGGCTAAGGGCAGTGATAAGAAGGTTGCCCTGTCCTGAGAGCACTGAAACAGTGTTATTGCCTCTGTTATTAAATTAAAAGACACACACACAAACTCTCGTTACCATTACAGGATGATCTGCAGACGCAGGTGGGTAGCAGCTACGGGATTCAGCAACACTGATAATGTCTTAATGCTTGGCTTGGATTATATTTTTATGAAATACAAAGTCATTGTGTGATGCACAGGTTAGAGGCAAGACAGTGTAAGTGCTATTGGTGGTACCGCAGGATTGGTTGTGCAGTTGCTACTCTTGTTTTCAATGTATTGAAAATCTTCATGGCTAAAGGGTATTCATGATCTGAATTTTTCTGTTGAACAAAATCTTGCTCAGCTGTGAAATGTGCATGCTGTTACCACACAGAGATTTTACAGTAAAGTTTGCAAACAAAATACATGCATGAGGAGGTGCAGCAGTGATTACTGAACACTTTTTTACCATTGTGGAGAGATACTTGCACTTTATGAAAATTTTTTCTCTTCTCCTTTCTCACCAGTCACTGATGTTGTAATATGGATCATGTTGGCACCCCAGTATTCTTTAATAACCTACAAATTTGAATCATTGTGTGTAATGTTATGCTAGTACTATTCTTCAAGTTCCTCTTTCTTATTTAAATATGATACTCCAAAAGATGGAAGAGCTGCTTTGTGAAGGGTATTGAAACTGGATTTCTGGCTCAGCATCTACCTTATCTCCTTGCAGGAGATGAGGATTAATCTCCATCTAGTTCTGCAGCTGGGCAGAAAATGGGAGGTAATGACAGTTATCAGAGGTGCACCTTGTGCAACCCCAGAGCTGCTGTGGCACACACCTCCTTTGTCAAAGGTTGTCACAGTGGAAGCTCACAGCAAGTGGAGTTGAGCCTTGGTGCTGTTCCTCTTCCAGGGCAGGGGGAGATACCCCAGGTCAATAGCACATAGCTGCCCCACCACATGCACTCAGGATGTGGACATACACACGCATGTGGACCTGCTCTGGGCCCTCAGCGGCGATTCATGTTCTAGCAGACCAAAGAGTGGAGTTGTTTGCTGATGGATTAACCAAGATTTAAAGGAATTATTCATTTGGAGATGGCTCCAGATGGTTTGAGGTGAACTGGGTTTCAGTCCTTGGAGACAGGAGCTGGGCATCAGGCACAGCAGGTATAGCCTGTTGGCCATTGGGGAGCATTGGTCATGCTCCAGGTGCTGGGGTCACTGTGCATGTCCCCAGAGAGGAACTGTTACGGCCAGGCTCTCCCTTGCAGCCAGTACAGGGAATGTGCCTGCAGGTTTCTTGCCACCCTACTCCCAAGCACAGTCAGTGCCAGGGTGCTCTGCGGACCCTCCATGTGACCTCAACCAGGAGAGACCTGGAGAAGGACCAGGTTCAGCTCTGCCTCCAGGTAGCTACCCTGGAAAGGCAGATTCTTGGGTAGAGGAAGAAGGGAACCTGTTCTCCATGGCTTGCCTGCACTTGGAGCTTCTCAAAACACCACTTCTCCTTCAGCTTCCAAGGAGATGGTAGAACTCTGGCAGTCCTCATGGATGTTGTCAGAGTTGCTCCATGTGGCCTGCAGGACATGATGGCCTCCAGAATGGTTCTGTGTGTACTTGGAGCCAACTGAGAGCAATCCAGTTCTTGTTAAGAAGTATAAAATAATCCAGTATTTTAAGGTACCTAAGCATTTCAAAAAAGGTGGTGGCATTGTATGTCTGTCATTGTTAGAGGTGTTAATGAAGGAGGAAGAACATACTGTATTGACTTTCCCCCAGGAAAAGAAGGTAGTGCAGTTAGTTGAGTTTATG